CCATCCCACAGGGTCCTCCTGGCTCCGCTGGTGCTGCTGGCAAAGATGGTCTCAACGGGCTGCCCGGCCCCATCGGCCCCCCTGGCCCCCGCGGGCGCACCGGCGACGTTGGCCCCGTCGTACGTACCCGCCCCTCTGCCGCCCGCCCAGTGCCGCCTCCTTCATCATCTGCCTGCCCACCATCCTCCTCCTCCTCTCCTCCTGCAGGGTCCCCCCGGCCCACCCGGCCCCCCTGGTCCTCCCGGCCCCCCCAGTGGTGGATTCGACTTCAGCTTCCTGCCCCAGCCGCCCCAGGAGAAGGCCCACGATGGTGGGCGCTACTACAGGGCTGACGATGCCAACGTGATGCGTGACCGCGACCTGGAGGTCGACACCACCCTCAAGAGCCTTAGCCAACAGATCGAGAACATCCGCAGCCCCGAGGGCACTCGCAAGAACCCTGCCCGGACCTGCCGCGACCTGAAGATGTGCCATGGCGACTGGAAGAGCGGTCAGTGTCCCATGCCCCTCTGTGCCCTCACCTCCATCCCTCTGTCCCCTCTATCTGCTTCTCACCTCCGGCCTTCTTCCATCCCCATGGTTGATTCCCATCTTCATTCCTCCATCCTGTCTCTCATGGCTGCTCTCACCTCCATCCTCTGTCCCTCCATTTCCTGTTTTCTCCTCACCTCCTTCCTCTTCTCCTCCTTGTGGCTGTTGCCCAACTCCACGATCCACTCCTGAGCTTCCTCCTACCTGCTCCTCATCTCCCTCCTCCACCTCTCACAGCTGCTCCTCACCTCCCTCCTTTATCTCTTCATTCTCAAGCTCTCATATCCTTCATCTTTCCATCTCACATCCCTCAACTATCCCTCCATCCTCTGTTCCTGCCACTTGCTCCTCACCTCCATCTTCATCATCTGTGGCTGTTCCTCACTGTCATCCTTCATCCCTCCTGACTGCTCCTCACCTCCATCCCTCTGGCTGCTCCTCACCTCCATCCCTCTGGCTGCTCCTCACCTGATCCTTCCTAGCTGCTCCTCCTCTATTCCTTCTTGGCTGCTCCTCCCCTTTTTTTCCCTGGGTTGCTCCTCTCTTCCATCCCTCTTGTCTGCTCCACACCTCCATCCCCTACCCTGACCCCCCTTCCTTCACCCCACAGGCGAATACTGGATCGACCCCAACCAAGGCTGCAACCTGGACGCCATCAAGGTCTACTGCAACATGGAAACGGGCGAGACGTGCGTCTACCCGACCCAGGCCACCATCGCCCAGAAGAACTGGTACCTCAGCAAGAACCCCAAGGAGAAGAAACACGTCTGGTTCGGCGAGACGATGAGCGACGGCTTCCAGGTGAGCACGGGGGCCACGAGGTCAGGGGCCAACCAGGCTGGGGGACCTCCACGGTGACCGATTCCTCTTCTCCCACAGTTTGAGTACGGCGGTGAGGGCTCCAACCCCGCCGACGTCGCCATCCAACTGACCTTCCTGCGCCTCATGTCCACCGAGGCCTCCCAAAACATCACCTACCACTGCAAGAACAGCGTCGCCTACATGGACCAGGACACCGGCAACCTGAAGAAGGCTCTTCTCCTCCAAGGCGCCAACGAGATCGAGATCAGGGCTGAAGGCAACAGCCGCTTCACCTACGGCGTCACTGAGGACGGCTGCACGGTGGGTGCTCGGGGACGGGGGGTCCTGGCGGGGCGGTGGGACGTCTTTTGGGGATGGGGATGACCGTGGTGTCCCCACAGAGTCACACCGGCGCGTGGGGCAAGACAGTCATCGAGTACAAGACGACGAAGACGTCTCGCCTTCCCATCATTGATTTGGCTCCTATGGATGTCGGCGCTCCAGACCAGGAATTCGGCGTTAACATCGGCCCAGTCTGCTTCTTGTAAACCGGACACCCTCCCCCCCGAAAGCGTGACAGGAGAGAGTAATAATAATGATAATAATAATAAAAAAAAGAAAAAAAAAACAGCGAAAAAAAAAAGGAGAAAATTTCACATGGACTTGAATTTGTGTCGGTTTTCTATCCAGCGTCTCTAAAAGAAAGAAAAGAGAAAAACCTAAAAATCCCTCCCCCCACAAAAAAAAGCATTAAACCAAAAAAAAAAAAAAAAAGACAACACCAAAAAAAACCGAAATAAAAATAAATTACTTTTTCAAACAAAATCACCAGGAAGTGGGTTCGCTTGCTTGCCCCCCCCCCCCTCATTCCTCAGCCCCAGAGATGGAGCAGCTCAACTCACCGAAAATCCCTGAGACCCCCCTGGGACTGGTCGACCCCCACCCTCCAAACCCCCCCTTTCCCCACCAGCCCCTTTGCTTTTTGCATCTCATTCAAATATTAATTTTTTTGCTACCAGGAAGATGTTTAATTCTTGGTTATAATTTGCTTTTTCTCCTTGTTTTCCCTCTCTCTCCCCTCCCCTCCTCTTGAGTTTTTTAATTTGGGTACCAGCCTTTTGAGTTCTTGCCATTTCTTATTATGAATCTTTGGGTTTTATTATGAATTCTTTTTTTTAATTTTATTTTTTCATTCAGGCAGCAAAACCAATTCATTCCCAAGCACATGAGGGGAGCCCCTGGCGCCGAGCAGACCTGACTCTTCGCTGCATCCCCCCTTTCCGGATGGCTACCTCACCACTTTCGGGGTGTTTGATTGTCTTTTTTAGTTTTAATTTTGGGGTTCTGTTTTGTTTTGTTTTTTAGCTTCGTTTGGAGTTTTTCAGCCGTGCCGGGACTTTCCTGCCAGGTTCAGAGCAAAGGTGCTAATTTTCCCCTATTATCCCCCTCCCCCCAGATCTTTCTCTTTTGTTGCTCTGTGGATCTTTCATTCCCTTTTTCTTTTGGAGGTTTCTTTCCCTCAGGATTTTTATCCTGGTTTTGGGTTGGTTTTGGTTTTTTTTGTTTTGTTTTTTGTTTGTTTGTTTGGTTGGTTTTGTTTGTTTGTTTGTTTTATTATAATTTTTAGATATTCTCTTTAATTTTGGCCCCGGAACACCCAAACCCGGGACCTCCTGGTGCTACAACCTCCAAAGACACATCTCAGCTCAATCTATTTTAATTTCTCTCTACTTTCTGCTTTATTTCCTCCTTTCTTTGCTGCTCAGTTCCACATGGGAATTTCCTAAAGGTGCTATCCTCCCCACGACCCCCCCCTTTCCATCATCCCAAGAGCAAATCCCGGAGCAAACACAAAGCAGAGCCAAGAAATTAAAAGGGATTAAAAGGGAAGAAAGGAATAAATGAATTTTCCAGGTTAAGCAGGTGAATCTTCAGCTCCGCTGTCAACTTCCAGCAGCTTTTCCTCCATCCATCCATCCATCCATCCATCCATCCATCCATCCATCCATCCATCCATCCACCCATCCATCCCTCTCCATCCCTGCATCCCCCCCAGGCACAGAGGGGCACGAACCCACTCCCTCTTGCCGGGCCCATCTCCCGGTGGATACTCCGGGTTTTTCCCGGAGTTTGTACCTAGTTTGTATAATGTATAATAATAATAGTAATTATAATAATAATAATAATAATAATTTTAAGTGGTTTGGGGGTTTTCTTTTTTTTTTTAAGAAAAAGAAATGATTTTTTTTTCTTGACTGCTGAAATAAAGCATGTGAAATGATCCAACAAACCTCGGGGTGCTCTTCCACGCCGCCTCTCATTCTCGGGGGGGCTCGGGAGGGGGTCCAGGGTGGGTGGTGGGGTGGCCTTGGGAGCTCCTTGTCCCCGATCCCGCTCTCATCCTGGTTGATCCCACTCTGCTCCTGCCGAGCTTCTGCACTCCACTCCTGCCCATCCTCCTTTCCAGCCCCCCAGCCCTCCTCCTCCTCCTCTTCCAGCCCCCCTGGGATGAGGGGGGAGAGGAAGGAAGGGGGAGCCCACCCCCCTGGTAGGAGGGTTGGGCTGGGTTTAGTGGGGCAGAGCTGCTGGGCACCCGCAGTGGAGGGAATCTGGGGGGGTCTGTGTCCCCTCCCCAAATGGAGGGAGAAATGGGGATGGTGGATCAAGGGGAGGAAGGGTTCGGGGGCAGCTGGTGCCAGGGTGGGGGACACTGGGGGGCTCTCAGCTCAGGGTGAGCTCCCAGAAGGAATTGAGGAGTGGGGTGGGCACAGGGAGACACCCCAAAATTGTGGCAGGGGGGTGGGCAAACAAAAGCCGTGCAAGAGGAGTGGGTGGGTGAGTGTGGGGATGCTCTGCTATGGGAGTACCCCAGCGTGGGGGTGCCTCAGTGTGTGGGTACCCTAGAGCATGTGTGCCCTGGTGTGGGGGGGTCCCAGTGCATTTGTGCCCCACCACAAGCCCCCCCCCGGCTCCCCTGGGTACCCCACACATCCAAGCTCCATCCACACACCCCATACCCCTCATTCATGCCAAGGGACCAGCAGCACCCCCACGTGTGCCCAGGGAGCAGGTTGTACCCACCCAGTGCCCCCCTCCCCATGGTGGTGGGCACAAGCAGGACCCCCACAGCCCGGGGGGGGCTGCTCTGGCCGCGGGACAAGCCCTCAATGCTGCCATTCTCCAGCCCGTCAATGGGTCCCCTTGTTCCTCCCGGGCCCCCATGTTTTCCTAACCCCCACCCTGGCGCCTGCCCCGTGCAAGGGAGGGGGGGCTGTGGTGAAAGAGGCTCTTTCTTTGGAGGGGCTGGGCCGGGGGACCCCCTGGGGGGGTCGGGGAGGGGTTAGGGGGGTGCTGAGTGGGACGCTGAGTGGGATATCCAGGTCTATGCGGTGTGGACGGAGGATTTGGGAGCTCCAGGAGAGATCCTGCTGGACACGGACACCCAGGTGAGTGGGGTGGGCATTGGGGTGCCATCATGGGTCCCAGGGACTGTGTCCCCCCCACTGTGCCTATTCCCATCCTCTTCCTGCTCCCCTTTCCCTCTACAAGGTTGGGGGATGCACAGAGTCATCCCAACCCTTATGGAGGTTGCAAGCCTTTCATGGGGGATCGTGGCTGGAACAGGGTGGGCACTCCAAAACCTGCTCTGCAAATAAAGCAGAAAAGCCTCATTTCATCACTAAATGGTCAATTTATCCTCCAAAACTCACCCCAAAGAGGAAACACCCCAAAATCCTCCAGGCAACAGCCCGGCAGTGGGCAGAGCTCAGTCAGAAGGGCGACCACCCATCTGGCTGAACTCTGCCTGGGGGGGCTTCTGTACCCCCAAAAACATCAGGACACCCCTTTCCCATCCCTGGGATTGTCCCCCTCCCCCTGGCACGTCCCTGGGTGCCCCTCACTGAGGGAGGAGGGGCACACGGGCCCCATCCCGGGGGCTGGGCATGGGGTTGATGCGCTGGCCCGTGCGGACGTTGAACATGGGCAGCGTGGAAAGGGGCCGGGGCACATCCCGGATCACATCCCGGCTCCCAGCCATGTGCCGCAGCTCCTCCGTGTCCCCGTGGATGGTGGTGTGGTGGACCAGCTGGATGCTGAGAGGGGAAGGAGAATGGGATGAGGCACCCCATGTTTTCACCCGTGTCCCCCTGGGGAGGGGGTTGGTGCCCCATTATTAGGGTTTGTCTCCCCCACCGTTGGGGTCTGCTCACTCATCATTTGGGCTCGTCCCCCATCATTAGGGTGTACAGCTCATCACTGGGGTCTGCCCATCCTTCACTGGGGTCTGAATGTCTCACCATTGGGTTCTACCCACTCACCATTGGGGTCTACCCCCCAAAATTGGGTCTGCACTCCATAATTAGGGTCTGGCCCCCATCACCAGGAATTGACCCCCATCATTTGGGTTTGCCCTCCTGTTATTGGGGTCTGTATGCCATCATTTGGGTCTGCACCTCATCACTGGAGTCTGCCCACCCTTCATTGGGGTCTGCACCCCAGCACTGGGTTCTACCCACCCATCACGGGGGCCTGCCCACACATCTATGGGGTCTGGACCCATCACCAGGGTGTGCCCCCCATTCTCGGGGTCTGCTCCCCATCCTTGGGTCTGCCCCCCATGCCCAGGGTACCTCCTGGCTGCTGTTGGTTCCACCCGAGGCTACTGGAGAAGTAAAGCAGCTCTTGTGCTCCAACCCGTGTCTCAGGGGGGTTATTGGGAGGTGCCGAGGGGTGGGGAGGGGAGGAGGAGGGCTGGGGGGGCCTTTTGGGATGGGGGGATCATTTAAGCTCTACCACCTCCGGGACACCCCCCAAACCATTCCCTGTCCCTCTCTCCTCTGTTGTCCCATCCCCATGACAAAGCCCCCCAAAGCAGCCCTCCCAGAGCAGCCCCCCCAGCACCCCCCCAGCTCGGTCTGGGGTGTCAGGGCTTACTCAGACGTCTGCAAGTCCCGTTTTTGCCTACAAAACAGGGGAAAAAGGGAAAAAAATTATAATTATGGTGAGAAGGGCTCTCACCATCCCCAGCTTGTCCTGGGGCCACAATGGCCGGGGAAGGGGCACCCAACCTGGGGTAGGGGAGACACCCCGACTGGGGTAGAGGAGACCCGCACCCTGAGCGTGCCCCCCGACTCACACTCCCTCCCTGCGGCAGCACATGAGGTGGCCCAGGAGCAGACAGAGCAGCGCAGCCACCACCAGTGGCACCAGCAGCGTCACCAGGAACCCCGGCAGCAGGTCCTGGGGGGGCACCTCGGTGGGGGGCTGGAAATCCCCATCCTCCTCCAGCACCCCGGACCCCCAAACCGGCCCCGGAGTCGTGGGGCTGGGCCAGACCCGCAGCTGCAACGGGGTTGGGGGTGGTTAGGGAAGGGGGGTCCCCACGGGGAGTGTTGTGAGAGGTGGGGGGACACGTGGGTCTCACCAGGGTGAGGTTGCACCAGCGGATGGAGAAGTGGGGGGCAAAGGTGTCGTAGCAGGAGGCGAGGGGCTGCTGGCCCAGGCTGCAGCGGAAGCGGCTCTGGGGGGACACGGCCGACTCCAGGCACGGGGAGAAGGGGCTGTGGGAGCCCACCTTCACGTACACCCTGCAGTGGAGGTGGGCCCCCAAAACCCACCCACGGTGAGAAGGGGCCATGGGAACCTGCCTTCATGTACACGCTACAGGGTGGGGGTCACTGGCTGCAGGTGATCCCCAAAACCCACCCACGGTGAGAAGGGGCCATGGGAGCCCACCTTTATGTGCACCTTGTGGTGGAGGTAGCCCCCCAAAACCCACCCATGGGGAGAAGGGGCCACAGGAAACTACCCTCATGTACACCCTAAGGCAGCTTCAGGTGAGCCCCCAAAACCACATTGAGAAGACCCCATGGGAACCCACCATCACGTGCACCCTGTGGGGCGGGGGCACTGGCTGGAGGTGACCCCCAAAACCCACCCAGGGTCTGCCCAGGGAGCACCCCCAGCCCCCCCAGCCCTGCCCGTACCCCTCCTTGCGCCCCTCGATGGGCAGTGGGACGCGGCCGCCCCGGTCCAGGGCGGAGGTGACGTTGATGACCTGGAGGTCTCCGCGCTCCCAGACTCCGGCCGAGCCCTGCAGGAACATCTCCCGTGCGGCCTCTGGCAGCAGCTCCTCCACATTCCTGTTCCCCACCAGGAACTCGCCCTGGTATGGGGGCTCCCCACCTGTGGGGCAACACGCAGCACCCATGGGGAAACCCCTGGCCCATCCTGGGGGGTATCCTGGTGCAACTTGGGGGTGCCCAGCCCTCACCTGGGGCGGGGATGACGGTGATGACGAGGCGCTGGGACACCGTGGCGTAGGTGCGGCGGTTGTAGGCCAGCACCTGCAAGGACAGGGGACACCCCTGAAGATGTCACCCCTTCCTGTGCCACCCCAGAAGCAGGGGGTGTGAGGGTGGGCACCTACCTCGATGGTGTGGGTGCCCACCTCGCTGGCCGTGGGGCAGCCATACAGGTAGCCGGGCTGGCAGGGGTCCCGCTGGAGGTACCGCAGCCACCGCGGCAGGTCCGGGTGGTCCCGCAGGTGGGCTTGGAAGGTGATGGGGGCTGCTGGGACACACGGGTGGGTGGGGATGGACACAGACATGGGTACAGCACAGGCTGTGATGTGGGTGGACCCCCCCGCCTGAGAAGTTCTTCCCCGTCCAACTGGTCCCCACAAGGAAACAGGGATGGTCCCTGGGGGTCCTGATCCCCCAAAGGGAGGGAACCCCCAGGGGAGGGGGCACTCAATGATGCTCCGGGGGGGTTGACACTGCCCAGGGGGTCTCAAATGGGTGGAGGGTGGACAGGGAGGGATGGAGGGTGGGATGGAGGGTGGAAAGAAGGGAGGGATGGAGGATGGGATGGGATGGGGTGGGATGGGATGGGATAGAAGGATGGATGGATGGATGGATGGATGGACGGATGGATGTTTACAGGACTGGATGGATGGAGGGATGGATGGACAGACGGCCCAGCTGGGGTGGAGACTGGCAGGGAGGATTATTCAGTGCCCCCATTATGAGTCCCATCCCCCGAATCCTCCCATGCTGGTCCTTACCATCATCATCCTCACTCCCGGTGGGAGAGGCCTCCTGGAACAGCTCCCGCTCCAGCTCATGAACGAAGATAGTTCCAGTCTCGGAGGAGATGCGGTGGTCAGGGAGGACGTGGTGGTCAGGGAGGGTGGCCTGGGACACCCCCAGGGCCATGGCTGTGACCACACACAGGGCTGGGGCCGAGGCTGGGGACACATGGTCCTTCCCTGCCTCAGATTCCCCTTTTCCAGAGACCCTGGGACAAGCCACAGGTGCCCACAGACCCCCTGGGACAGAAATGTGTTCCTGCAGTGCCAGGCGTCCCAAGGCAGTGGAGTGGGGATATATTTAGGAGAGGATGGGATAGGGACAGGGACAGGATAGGGACAGAGACCAGGATGGAGATGGGGACAGGATGGTAGTGGGGACGGGATGGTGGCAGGGACAGAACGGGACCAGGGATGGGACAGGGATGGGGAAAGAAGCAGGATGGGGACACGGACAAGATAGGGACAAAGTGGGGATGGAGTCAAAGATGGGAACAACAACAGGAAGGGATGGGGACAGGATGGGGACAGGGTCAGGGATGGGGTCAGCACCTTCCCTTTCCCTGGCCCTGTCACGCTGAGGTCTCACTCGCTGTCCCCTGCCCTGTCCCAAACCCAGCTGGCATCTGGGACAGGACGGCTTTATTTAGCTCTGTCACGTCCCAGCCCTGTCCCCACGTCCTCTCCCACTTACACTCCCCGTGCCCACCCTGCTCTGGGGGTCCCCCCCCACCCTCCCTGCCGTGGGTCCCCCAAGCCCAGCCGTGTCCCCCCAGACGGGGTGACAGGGTTGTCACTCGCCTGCCAGCACCCAGAGCCGGAGCAGCTCGGGCACCTCCATCTTCGCCAGCGCTGGGAATGGGGCCAGGGTTGATTGACAGAGGCAGCAGGGGCTGCCCAGGACGGGAGGGCCCTCCTGGGGGGATCCCACAGGGGACACCCTGCCACAGCCACCTCTTGCCACCAAGGCACGGAGCACCGGGGCTGCCGAGGGCCTCCCGTGTCCCCTGGTGGCGTCCGTGGGGTGTCCCCTGGGTGGGCTTGTCCCAGTGTCCCGCTGAGGGTACTGGGGTGGCAATGAGGGGACGGGATGGGGGACACTTGGGGATAGCCCCCACCAGCATGGCCACCACCACTGCCCTGCACACGTATGTGGCACCAAGATGGGAACACATGTGTGCACATGCGTGGGTGCGTGGGGACAGTGACATGGGTGGAGGGCACTGGGACAGCACTGATGGGGACCAGACTCTGTGGTGGGGCTTGGGGGGGCAGGTGGCAGTGGCAGAAGGGGAAGGGGGTGGTCATGGGGGGATGTTGCAGCATGTCACGCCTCGTCACGCCTCGTCACGCCATGTCACACACAAAGGGTCGGGAGATGCCTTGGGTGACAAAGGGGACACACACACATCTGCAGGGTCCTGCTGCCCCAGACTGGGGGTGCAGGGGTGCCCCCCACCCTGCCCTCCACCCCCTCGGGGGGCTCCTCACACAGCAAGGACCCCCAACACAGCCATAGGCTGTCGTGTCTGCCCCTACCCACCAGTGGGAAGACAAGAACCCCCCAAACAGCCCCCCAAAATATCCCCTGGCCTCTACAGGAATGAGGGGAGCAGCACCGTAGCCCCCCCTCTGGGACCCCCTGCCTCAGTTTCCCCTCCTGCCACCCCTGAGTGGAGGTGTCAGAGGGGATGTGCAGCACCCCCAGGATGGATTTAGGGGGACAGAGAGTAAATGGGGGACACCACGGGACACCTGGGGGGGGGTGCTTCGGGCATGGGGGTGTGGAGGTCCCAGGGAGGGGGATGAGGGGGACATGTGGATAAAGCTGAGGGGACACAGGGAGAGGAGCAGGAGGACACAGGGACAGACCCAGGAAAGGCATGGGGACAGGGTGGGGGAATGTGGATAGAAATTTGGGGGGACACGGGGATCAGATGGAGGGATGTAGGTATGAACTTGGGGGGGGTTGCGGGTATAAACTTGGGGGGGATACGAGGACAGGATGGGGGGATATGGGGACAAACTCGGGGGGACATAGGGGCAATCTCGGGGGATATGGGGACAGGATGGGGGGAGATGTGGGGACAGGGCAGGAGTGGATGTAGGGGAAGACCCACGGGGTGTGAATACAGAACTGGGGGGTACAGGGACAGGACCGAGGGGCCACGGGGACCAGCCTGGGGGCCACGGGGACAAAACTGGGGAGGGGGGGACAGAAGCAGATCAGACAGACACGGTAGGGAGCAGAGATGGGGAGGTGGGAGACACACGGGGCCAGAGCTGGAGGGGGGGACACACGGGGACAGCGCTGGGGGGGGACACACGGGGACAGCGCGAGGGGTGGTAACAGCGGCCAAGCCGGCGCGGGGGGGGACCCACACTGCACAGCGCGGATGCTGGGGGGGGACGCGCCGCAGGGAGGGGACCCCCGGGCGGGTGCGGGGAGGGGACCGTAGGGGGAGAGGGGGCTTTGGGGTGGGGGTGGTGGGGGGTCCCCATGGCCGGGCTGAGGCGGCAGCGGCGCTGAGGCCGAAGCGCGGCGCCGAGGAAGAGGAAGAGCGAGAGAGCGCTGCTAAGACCCAGAGGGCTCTGCGGGCAGCGGGGCGGGCAGAGCGCGCAGGCAGCGGCGGCTCCATCACCAGCCACAGAGAAAGGGGAAGAGGAGGAGGAGAAGGGAGGAAGGAAGAAGGGCCGCGGCGGAGCAGGGCGGGCGGGGGGGCCCCGCCGAGGATGGACATGGCCTGACGGGGCCTGGCAGCCGGCCGGTGCAGGTGTGCCGGCGGCGGCCCCCCCGGCAGCATCCTCGCCCTCCCCGATGCCGCTGTAGCCGGCGAGGGGCCGCGGCGTGAGCGGGGGGCTCGGCGGGGGCGGCGGCGGCGAGCGATGCTGCGGGGAGAAGCGGCGGAGCCATGCTGAGGACGGAGGCAGGCGGAGGGGCGGCCGCCGGGGGGGGGTCCCCCTCCTCCGGCGGGGCGGCGGGCGGCGGGGGGCTGCGGAGCGCGTCCCCGCACCGGAACGCCTACGAGGCCACCATCCAGGCCCTGGCGCCCACAAAGGAGGCCGACGGCGGCGAGGACGGCAAGAAGAGCCGGGGCAAGAAGTATGGCTCCAACGTCCACCGGATCAAGAACATGTTCCTGCAGATGGGGACGGCGCCCGGCCCCGAGGGCGCCTGCGACCTGGCCAAGGCCAAGGAGAAGCCGGTGCGCCTCTCCTTGCCCCGCGCCGGCAGCCTCAGCGAGACCATGGACCAGGGCAGCCTCCTCAAGCTGGGCACCAGCGTCTCGGAGCGGGTCAGCCGCTTTGACTCCAAGCCCGACAAGCCCTTCTCCAAGCTGCAGGAGACCCGCAAGATCTTCGAGAGGAGCCCGCAGGAGAAGGCCACCACCACCAAGCTGCTGCTCCGCAAGGAGCGCGCCGGCTTCCAGGACCGCAAGCTGGACGTGGGGGTGAGGTTCAACGGCAGCACCGAGTCCCTGGACAAGCTGGACGCCGACGCCGTGTCGCCCACGGTCAGCCAGCTCAGCGCCGTCTTCGAGAAGGCCGATCTCCGGAACAACCTGCACAAGGCGCAGGGCAGGGCGGGAGCGCCGCTCAACGCCAAGGTGGTGGGCAAGCGGCCGCGGGTCTTCGCGCCGGGCGCCGAGGTCGGGCGCCAGGGCGATGGGCACCCTGCCCCAACCCGCGCCCGGCCACCCGAGGAGGAGAAGGCGCCGAGCAAAAGCGTGAGGCCGGCGGAGAAGGAACCGGCCGCCCCACGGGTGCAGGAGGTCTGCAAGATCAAGCCGGTGGAGGTGGAGGAGAGCGGAGAGGGCGAGGATGAGGAGGAGGAGGCGGCGGCAGCGGGTGAAGCGGTGCCACCCGTGCCCCAACTGGCCAAGGGGGATGAGGGTCCGGCGGCCACCGCCCCACGGCTGGATGGGGGCGCCGGGGTGGCCGCGGGCGAGGAGGGCATCAAGGGCGAGCGGGCGGAGGAGGGTGATGGCTACGAGGAGGCCAAGAAGGAGGACTTCTCTGAGGCGGACCTGGTGGACATAAGTGCCTACAGCGGGCTCGGGGAGGACTCGGGGGGCAGCGGGCTGGAGGAGGAGGAGGAGGCCGAAGGGCTGTACGAACCCGAGTCGGGCTGTGTGGAGATCCCTGGGCTGTCTGAGGAAGAGGAGCCCGTCCCCAACCGCAAGATCCAGTTCAGCACAGCGCCCATCCAGGTGAGACTGGCTGGGGGTGGGGGGCAGCTGGGGAGGAAGGGTACCTGGGGTGAGGGGTACCCTGGGGTGAGGGGTACCCAGGGTGACATACCCGGGGTGAGGGGTACCCCAGGGTGAGAGGAACCCAGGGTGAAGAGTACCCAAGGTGAGGGGCACCCAGGGTGAGGGGTACCCTGGCTGTACCCAAGTGGGCCCAGGTGGGCAAGCAGCCCAAGATGAGGAGTACCCTAAGAGGAAGGGCACCCCAGGGTGAGGGGCAGCCCAGATTGGTGTATGGGACCCCCACAAAATCACCCATTTGGAGGGGACAGAGAAATGGGGTGCAGGTCTGTGCCCCCCTGCCCTGTGCCCTCCACAGATAGGGCATCCCTTCTGGCTGTGCCCTTGCACTGGGGGAAGCTGGGCCTGGGTCTGGCTAACGAGCTGGCTAATGAAGGGCCAAGCCTGGGCATGGTGGGGATCCCCTGCCAACAAGGGGCCCCCCGGGGCTGGTGTGATGGGGTCAGGTACCCGCTGGGGTGGACTGTGCACAGCACCCACTGCCAACCTCCCCATCGTGCCCGGGACGGGCCAAGACCTACTCCATATTTTGGGAGGGGATGCCTGAAATATCTGTGTACGAGGTGCTGGGTGCCGGGGCTGTGCCACCCTTGGTCCTGGGTGTCCCTCGGTGCCAGGACTCCTCCCAAACCGGGGGGTCCCCTAGGACAAGGTGGCGCTGGGGGGGTTGTGCCCCCCCTCGTGTGCCCAGCCCGGTGCCCAGAGCCGTTTCGGGAAGTGGAGGAAGGGGAAGCGCCGTGGCAGCGTGGCCGGGTGGGCGGCATCGCCCGAGCACCCCCTGCTCCCTGCCGGGGATCCTGGCAGGGTTTGGGGTCCCTACCTGGGATGCTCCCCCAGTGAAGGGGGGGCTAAAGGGGCCGTGCAGCTATTTTGGGGTGTTCTCTCCCGCACGGATCCCCCCGACCGCGGGAGCAGCGGTTGCTTTGTGCCGGAGCCGGGTTATTTTTAGAGCCCCGGCCTATATTCTGGCTCTGAGTCAGAGCGGGTGGGTGGCCCCACCTGGGACAGGGGGACAGGGGGACAGGGAGCACCGTGGCCTGGGCAGGGGGCAGTGGTGGCCGTGTGCTGGGGTGGCTGCACGTTGTAGGGAGTCTTGATCCTGTGGGAACCAGCCAACCCAGCCCTGGGAATGGTGCCCTGGCCATGGATGCTTTTTTGGGGTGCTCTGCTCACCCCAGCACAGCCTTTAACCTCCTGCTTTTACCTACCTCGGGGGGGGGGTCCCACGTGTGGGGGTGGGTGGAGAGTGGGATCCAGGTCCCTGCCCAGGTACAGGGGTGATACTGAGCCCCCCAAACCCGCTGTAGGGCTTGGAGACATTGGGGACCCCCCCCAGCCCAGCGCTGGGGGCACACACCGCCAGCCCCTTCCCCTGGCTTTGGCTGCTTCTCCCTTGGAATCTACTCCAGGCCCCCCACACATCCCAAATCCCCCAGGACCTGGGGGTGGGGTGGGAGGCACAGCAGGGTGAGTGGGGACATGTGCCCACAGCCCCCCAGGGACCTCCTATGGACGGGGGGACATTGGTACGTCTCCTGCCCTGCTCCTCCCTGTCACCCCTGGGTGCCGCCCGTGTGGGTCCTGCCCTTCTGTGGGTGTCACTGGGCTTTGTCCCCTGACACTCATCCCTAATACCCTTTGTGTCCAGGCTTTATCACCACGGTGTTATCCCTAATCCACTCGCTCTGGCGGCATCGAGGGGCCAGGGCCCCTCCTGGGACATCTGCCAGGCCCAGCCCCTGCCAGCCCCTCTCCAGCAGCCCCCAGTGGACATGGCACCCACTCCCTCCAGCTCCAGGCTGGGGACAACGTCCTGGAGGCACATCCAGCCTCGGCCAGGGAGGGTTTAGGGGTGCCCCATGGTGGGGGTCAGCGTCCCCAGGGATTTGGCACGGGAGGGTGAAGAGATGCCCCACAACAAGGATCAGTGTCCCTGAGGATTTGACACAGGAGGGTTTTGGGGTGCCTCATGAGAGGAGTCAACATCCCCAGGGATTTGAGGTGCCCCATCCTTCTATTAGTCCTTCATTTCATCCATCCATTCTTCCACCTATCCGTCCTTCCTTCCTTTTTTCTAGTCATTCTTCCATCTATCCATTCACCCATCCATCCATCCTTCATCCATCCATCCATCCACTCATCCATCTGCCATTCCATCCATCCATCCATCCGTCCATCCATCCTTCCATGGGGTGCAGGCACCACCTCCTCTCCCAGAGCCACCTCCAAACCCTTTGTCCTTCCTCCTCTCCCCCTCGCTCCACGACACGATGTGGGGAGGGGGATTCTCTGGTGTCTTACAGGCTCCCTGCCCTGCCCATGCCTGGGGCTCTCCCACGCGGGAATTCCCATTGCCATGGGTGTCCCTGGTGTTTTCCCACGTGGCTGAGCAGCTCCCTGTTCCCACCAGGTGTTCAGCACTTACTCCAACGAGGACTACGACCGCCGCAATGAGGACGTCGACCCCATGGCCGCCTCGGCCGAGTACGAGCTGGAGAAGAGGGTGGAGAGACTCGACCTCTTCCCTGTGGAGCTGGAGAAAGGTGGGTCCTCACCCCGTCCCACACCCCAGGACCCTTGTGGCACCTTGGAGGTGACTCCGTGGCATTGAGTGGCCGTGGCCACCCCGCCAGGACACGTCTGTCTGTCCCCACAGACTCCGAAGGGTTGGGGATCAGCATCATCGGGATGGGAGCGGGGGCCGACATGGGCCTGGAGAAATTGGGGATCTTCGTCAAGACGGTGACGGAAGGAGGGGCAGCCCACCGGGATGGCAGGTACAGGCTGGGGGGACTGCCCACCTGTATGGCTGCTCCTGGCACGGGGGTGGGAGCAGGGACACGGTTCAGGTGTTCCCCGGGATCAGGGAGATGATCCAGGTGTTCCCTGGGTGGGAGCAGATGATGATCCAGGTGTTCCTTGGGGTGGGAGCAGGGAAATGGTCCAGACGTTCCTGGGGTGGGAGCAGGGACATGATCCAGATGTTCCCTGGTGTAGGAGGAGGCAGATGGTCCAGGTGCTCCCTGGGGTGGGAGCAGGGAAATGGTCCAGGCGTTCCCATGATAGGAGGAGGCAGATGATCCAGGTGTTCCCAGATAGGAGCAGATGACCCAGATGTTCCCTGGGGTGGGAGCAGATGATGATCCAGGTGTTCCCTGCGGTGGGGGAGGTGGGCGAGGGGTGGCCCCGTTGTGACGGTCCCCTTGTCCCCAGGATCCAAGTGAACGATCTGATTGTGGAGGTGGATGGCACCAGCCTGGTGGGGGTGACCCAGAGCTTCGCCGCCTCCGTCCTCAGGAACACCAAGGGCCGTGTCCGGTAGGACCCAGGGCTGGGGGGTTTGAGGGGCTGGGAGACCCCCAGAATCTGTGCTGAGACCTCTGTGGTCCCTACCCCATAGCCTGTCCCCAGGCTGGGCTGTCCCCCAAAATACCACTCCCCCTCATAAATACCACTCCCTGCTCATGCCCACTGCTTGCCCTGTGCCACCCCAGCGCCCCCCAAAACGCCCCAAACTGCTCCCCAGCCCCCGTGACACCCCTAAACCCACTGCTCCCAGGAGGACTGCTGTCCCTCAGCTGTGTCCCCTGCCTGTCCCCCTGCGGCCAGGCCCCCCGTCCCTGCTGACCCCCCGTGCCCGCTGCCCCCCAGGTTCCTGATCGGGCGGGAGAAGCCGGGGGAGCAGAGCGAGGTGGCGCAGCTGATCCAGCAGACGCTGGAGCAGGAGCGGTGGCAGCGGGAGATGATCGAGCAGCGCTACACCCAGTACACCGAGGACGACGAGGAGGTGAGGGGACAACGCCCACCCACCCGGGGTCCCTCCGCCCGACATGGGGCCGGTGACGCCGTTTCCCCGGGTGGGGATGCCAATGGTGCCCTGTGCCCTCCCAGACGGGTGAATATGCGACGGACGAGGAGGAGGAGATGAGCCCCATGTTCCCCGGCGGGGAGATGGCCATCGAGGTGTTCGAGCTGGCCGAGAACGAGGACACGCTGTCCCCCGTGGAGATGGACCCCGAGAAGCTGGTGCACAAGTTCAAGGAGGTGAGGAGGGGCTGGGGGGAAGCCGGGGGAGAGGGGGTTGCCCACACGTGTGTGCCCACCCCGTGCCCACACCGGCTCCTCCCGCAGCTCCAGATCAAACACGCTGTCACCGAGGCTGAGATCCAGCAGCTCAAGAGGAAGGTGAGTGGGGGTCTGGGGGTCCTGGCTGCCCAGGGGTGGGGGGACACCCTGACATCTCCCCTGGCACCCCTGGATCTCTATCTCCACCATCCTCTCTGAATTCCTCACATCCCCACCCCTACCCTGCACGTGCTGTGCCGTGTTCTGCCTGTCACCTGGCTGTGCCATGTCATGCCTGTTCCCTGTTTGTGTCTTGCTGTGCCATGCCATGCCACACCACATGGCTGTACCATGCCATGCCATGCCTGTTCCCTGATTTGTAATGCCATGCCACACCATGCTGTGCCATATCCTTATCCCTGACTCTGCCATGCCATACCATGCTGTGCCATGCTTGTTCCCCGACTCTGCCATGCCATGCTCTGCCATATCCTGCTCCCTGACTGTACCGTGCTGTGCCATATCCCGCTCCCTGACTGTGCCATGCTGTGCCATATCCCGCTCCCTGACTGTGCCGTGCTGTGCCATATCCCGCTCCCTGACTGTGCCATGCTGTGCCATATCCCGCTCCCTGACTGTACCATGTTGTGCCATCCCCAGCTGCAGTGCCTGGAGCAGGAGAAGGCACGCTGGCGGGCTGAGAAGGCCCAGCTGGAGCAGAGCGTGGAGGAGAACAAGGAGCGGATGGAGAAGCTGGAAGGGTACTGGATGGAGGCCCAGAACCTGTGCCAGGCCGTGGACGAGCATCTCAAGGAGACCCAGGCCCAGTACCAGACCCTGGAGCGCAAGTACAGCAAGGCCAAGCGGCTCATCAAGGAGTACCAGCAGAAGTGAGGGCAGCGCCCACCCCCTGCCCGTCCTCCCCTGGGCACCCCGTGTCCACCCGGGCATGGACCCGTCCCCTGGGAACTGACCCCTCCTCGGGCACCCCTGGTCCCTGGGAACATTGGGCTGGGCCAGGCCCTCCCTGGGCATCCCTGATCTCTGGGCACAGACCGTGCCATTGGGCTGAGCTGCCCCCTGGCCATGGATCCGTCCCCCAGGAACCAGATCCTTCCCTGGCACCCCTTGTCCCTGGGCACAGCCACATAACGTGGGCACAGATCATGCCCTTGGTGTGGACCCTCTTGTGGGGCTCTGACCCCTTCATGGGCACCCTTTGTCCCTGGGCACTTAGCATCTCTTGGGCAGAAATACATCCCTTGGGGCACCAGATCCTTCCTGGGCACCCCCTGTCCCTGGGCAGGGACATTCCACTGGGCAGGGACTCCTCCCTGGGGAAACAGCTCCATCCTGATCATGGATCATGCCCTGGGAAGGAACCTTCCTCTTGATAGAGACCCATCCCTGGGGCACCAAATCCTTCCTGGGCACCCTTTGTTCTCTTGGCATGGACCATTCCCTGTGCAGGGACCTTCCCTGTGACATAAATCCATCAAGGCCAGGTTGGACAGGGCTTGGAGTAACCTGGTCTAGTGGAAGGTGTCCCTGCCATGGCAGGGAGTGGGATAAGATCATCTTTAAGATCCCTTCCAGCCCCAACTATTCCATGACTTGATGATTCCATGATCCCTGGGGCTCATGTGCATCCCTCATTCCCTGGGCATGGCCCATCCCCTGGAAGACCCCTGGGCACCATCATCCCACTGGGCCGGGTGTCCCAGGATGCCCCTGCCCTGGTCCCCCTCCCTGGGGTATCCCCGGTGCCGGGGGGGGGCCGTGCACCCACGCACCGATTCCCGCAGGGAGATCGAGTTCCTGAAGAAGGAGACGGCGCAGCGGCGGGTGCTGGAGGAGTCGGAGCTGGCACACAAAGAGGAGATGGAGAAGCTGCAGGAGAAGGTGGGCACCGGGCGCCGGGACCAGGGGTGTCCCTGAGCCCCCCAGCCCCGCCCGGCCACGGCCACACCGCTCCCGGGGCTCCGTCGCCGATGGATCGCGGGGGATCTGCTGGGCCGCCGGATCCCGCGCCGGGGGGCTGTGGAGCCGTGTGCGGCACCGGCTCCCTCCGGACTGAGCTACGGCCGCTGGATCCCACCCCGGGTCACGGTGGATCTGCCTGGGGCTCCCAGCGGGATTGTGCTCCCACCACCGGATCACAGCGGATCTGCTCGGGCGCTGGGCAACGCCCGGGCTCCTCCTGGCACTGGATCCCACCCTGGATTGCAGGGGATCTGCCTGCGGATCCTGCTCCGGGGTCTGACAGCCCACAAAGAGATCACCTCGGGCACCAGATCCCAGGCTGCTTGTGCGGGATCCCACGAGGGATCCCCAGAGGTCATCCCACACGATCCTGTTGGGAGCCGGATCCCATGCTGGTCATGCTGGATCCCCCAACAGACCCCACTGGATTCCATGCCAGCCACACTGGATCCCCCCCAGCCGTGGGGTCAGAGCCGTGTGGGGCCACAGCGGATCCCACATGGGCTCACCGGATCCCAAAGGATCCCAAGGGTCTGCCGTGGGTCACAGTGGGGGGGGGGCATCCCCTGCCCGGCTGGGGGGCACCAGGGCACAGCGGGGAGGTCCCTGGCACCCAGCAGAGCCCCTCCATGCACCCGCCTCCATCACCCCAAAATATCCCCTGACATCCCACAGAGACTCACCCACCACCTGCCTGCAGCCCCCTCCCCATCCCTGCCCCCTCCCCATCCCTGTGCCCCCCGTCTGCCCCCCTATTCCTGCCCCCCCTCCACCCGTCTCTGTGCCCCCATCCCTGTCCCATCCACCCCTCCGGTCTCCTGCCCCTCTGTGCCATCTCCCTGCCCTCCCCCTCGTCCTTCCCACCCCTCCATGTTTCCCCCCGCCCCAGCACCCCCATGTCCTACCCCCTTTGTCCTTCCCCCCAGTCCCATCCATCCCTCCCTGTCCTGTCCCCCCATCTCCATGTCCCCATCCCTGTATCCTCATCCTGTCCCCCCATCCCACGGTCACAGCCGTGTCCCCCCCACCCCCCGTGTGTGCCCCCTCCCGGCCCCCCCCGCTGAGACCTGTCCCCTTTGCTGTTTTTCAGATCTCCGAACTGGAGGCCAAGCTGCAGACTTTGAAAAATTCCAACCCGACTTAAACCACCCTCAAACCGCAGTGATTTCGGGGTGGGGGGGTCCCCCATTTCTTCTCCCCAAACCACCCCCCCAGCCCTGCCCCCTGCCCCTTCCCTGCCTCTTCCCCACCGGGGAGGAGATGAGACCCCCGCCAAGGCCTCCTGGTGCCCCCCACTCCCCCCTGGGGGCACAGACAGTGTGTGTGGGGGGGTGTCTGGCAGAGGGGGGGTTTCGGGGGGGACACACCCCGCGTTCGTGTCTGTGTCCAGTGTGAGTCTCGTGGTGACGTGATGGACCGATGGGGGGGGCACAGCTCCCCCCAGGCCTCCCCCCTCCCCTCGACGTGACCCCCCCGCCCCCGGACACAGAGCTGGCACCCTGGTTGGACACTGTGGGGGCGGGGACCGGACAATGAGACCCCCCCACCCCCCAAATTGTGAGCCATATTGGGGGGGTACGCTGGAAACCCCCCCAATCCCCAGCTCCTTCTCTTGGGACTCACCTGGAGCACGGGCCAGGGGGGGCCGGTTGCCTTGGCCCTCCCCACCCCACCAACGGACTCACCCCCAGCCCCACAACGAGGTGCCCCCCTCGGGGTTGGTGCCCGGGACCATTGCCATGGAGGGGGGACCCCAAGTGCCCCCCCTCACTCCCCTTCAGTGCCACCATCGCCAGGCAGGAGGGACAGCCCCCCCAGCCTTTACCAACCCCTGCAGCAGGATGGGGGGGCACCAGCCCCACTGCCCCCCCCGGCAATGGGGGGCTGCCCAGCACCCCACTGTGGGGGCCCCCAGTGCCCCCCAGTACCCTCTGCTACCCTCCCTGAGCCCGGGGCTTTCGCCTTCCCTGGGCGGGGGGGGGACACACGGGGGTCCCCCTCCAAGGTGGGGGCGATGCCCTCACCCCCCAACTGTAAATAACCCCCCCCAAATCACAGTATTTCTCTGGGGCTGGGACACCCCCCACTACTGGCCACCCCCAGCCGGGTCGGGGGTCCCACCCCCTCGGCCCGGGGGAACCCCATTATTTTTCATTTCTATTTTGCCCCCCTCGCCCCCTGCCCCGAAGTACCGAGTCTCCGACAGTAACTGGATGTGGGGGCAACTGGGAGCCAGAGCTGGTTATACTGGGAGTGGGAGGCGGGAGGGGCACGCGGGGGGCGGGGGGAAGGGGGGTCCGACTGGATTGGAGCCACTTGGGGAGGGGGGAGGATATTTAAGGGGGGGTCGGGGAGCGCGAGCCCCGGGGGGGGCCGGGGTTATTTAATCTCACACGTGTACCTGTGGGTGTATATACTATATATAATGTACCTATGTATGTACTGGTCCTCGTTTTGTAACGCAGCGTCCGCGGCCCCCCCACCCCATAAACGCGGCCTCGGCTTCCCCCCGCCTCCTTCTGCCCGCGGATGGGTCGGGGGGCGATGGGCGAGACTGGGAAGGATGGGGGGAGTAGGGAAGACTGGGAGTGATTGGGGGTCATGGGGAGGAGTGGGAAGGTGGGGGACCGAGGGGGATGGAGGGCACTGGGAGGAGTGGGAGGGTTTGGGGGGGAACTGGGGGAAGTGAGAAGAATTGGGGGAACTGGGGGGAGTGGGCACGATGTGGGCACTGAGAGGAAGGGATTGGGGGGAAGTGAAGGGGAGTGGGCAGGGTTGGAAGGCACTGGGAGGAGCAGGAAAGACTGTAGGGCACTGGGAGGAATGGGAAGAATTGGGGGGCACTGGGAGGAGTGAGTAGCATGTGGAGGACATTGCGAAGGGTGGGGGGCACTTCGGGGCACTGTGGAGGATGGGAGACACTGGGCACCGTGGGGGTCACCGGTGTGTCCGTGCCCGGTGTGTCCGTGCCCGGTCGCTGTCCGTTCAGCACCGCCGTGTGCGCGCGTCTGTCCGTCCGTGCCCGGTGTCCCCGTGCCCCCTCCCCCGGTGCCCCCCTCGTCGCTGTCCCTTCAGCACTGTCCCCGTGTGTGCGTCTGTCCCTCCCATGCCCGTTGCCCGCCCCCAGAGCCCCCTCGTCCTTGTCCGTTCAGCACCCCCGTGTATCCCCCCCACGCCCCCCTCCCGGTGCCCCCCCGTCTCTGTCCGTTCATCACCGGCCCCGCTTCGGGCGGGGCTGACCCCGCCCCCCCGCCCCCGCCCCCGCCGTTTCCGGGTTCCTGTGCCCCCCCCGCGGCCCCCGGCCCGGCGGGGCGGCCCAGCCCGGCTCGGTAGCGCCCTCCGCTCCCACCGGCCCTGCCACGGCCCCGGCCCAGCCCGCGGGAGGCGACCGGGGGCGACCAGGATGCCCCAGAAGCGCCGGTGAGTCGGGGGCGGGGGGGGACAGGGCGTCACCCCCGGACAGCGGCCCCGGCATGGCCCCATCCCCCGGTACAGCATCCCCGGTACAGCATCCCCAGGACAGCCCCACTCCCGGGACAGCATGCCTTGTACAGCCTCGGTACAGCATCTCCGGTAGACCCCTCCCCCGGGACAGCCCCATCCCCCCGGTTCAGTATTCCTGGTACAGCCTCATCCCCCGGGCAGCACCCCCGGTACAAACCCGGTAGAGCCCCTCACCCCAGGGACAGCCCCACCCCTGATACAGCGTCCCTGGTACAGCCCCCGGTACCGCCCCAGCCCCCGGTACAGCCCCGGTACACATCCGGTACACCCCCCTACTCCCGGTACAGCCCCACCCCAGGTACAGCACCATCCCCCAGGACAGCCCCGGGACAGCCCCAGCCCGGTTCAGCCCCCCAGCTCCCGGTACAGCCCACCCCATGTACAGAAGCATCCCCTGGGACAGCTCCGGTACAGCCGCATCCCGGTACAGCCCCATCCCGGTACAGCCCCATCCCCTGGTACAGCCCCATCCCGGTACAGCCGCATCCCGGTACAGCCCCCCAGCTCCCGGTTCGGCGACCCCGGGTACAGCACCATCCCCCGGTACAGCCCCGGTGCAGCCCCAGCCCGGTACAGCTCCAAACACCGCTACATCATCCCCGGTCCTGTCCCCTCCCGGTACCGCCTCCCCTCAGCCCCCACCGGTGCTGGACCCGTTCCCCGGGGGGAGGGAGGGGCTGGGGGGGGGGCCAGGAACGGATCTGCCCCCCCTTACCCCGCCTGTCCCCCGCCCCGATGCTGCCAAGGCATTAGGAGTCCCCGCCCCCACCTCGAGACCCCCCGAGCCCCGGGACACGGGGATCACTGGGAGGGCGGGGGGGGGGGCACTGGCATCACTGGGAGAGGATCTGGTTCCTCTCCTGACTGTCCCCTCTGTCCCCAGCTTTGTCCCACCATGTCGGTCTCCAAGCTGCAGGACACGGACGAGGTTTTTGGTGAGTCCCAGTGGGCACGTGGGGTGCAGATGCCCAAATGGGGTGCAGAGCACCCTGGGGGGTGTAGAGCTGCCTGTGGGTCCCCACCCACCCTCAGTGTCCTCCTATCTTAGGGGGGGACAAACTGGGCTTGGGGACAACGTGTACTTGGGGACACAGGGATGTGTATGGGCAGGGGGACACGGGGACACATACAGGGGACAGGGGCATGCAGAGGGTGTCAGGGACATGGGGACATGTCCAGGACACACAGGTGTGGGCATAGGGGTGTGCACAGGGTGGCAGGAATGTGGGAACATGGGGAGAGGCACAGGGAGGTGCACAGGGTGGCAGGGACATGGGGTCATGGTCCAGAGCCACCCCTTGTGCTGGGTTGAGATACAGGGGTCACAGCAGGGCAGGGACATGAGTGGGATCCCAGTTGGACCATGGACAAAGCGTGGCCCCCCTGGGTGACAGGGACATTCTGTCCTCGGGGTCACCCCACTGCTTCTCTCCCCATGCCGGGGCATCTCTTTGAACACTTCTCTCTGTCCCCCTGTTCCCTGTCCTGCCCCACTGGGGTACCCCATCCATGTCCCAAATGCTCCCCTCTCCCTGTGCCCCCTCCAATCTCCCTGGGACCCCCCTCCTGCCCTTTGACTCTCCTGCCCTGTCCCCAATGTCCCTCTGTCCCCTCTCCACCGGGCTGGCCTTCTCCTGACCTTCTGTCCACCTCCCTCCAACGCTTCCCCGTCCCCTTCTCCCTGCCCCTTCTTGGCCATCCATCCCTCCATCTCCCATCAATCCATCACTCCCTCCTTTTCTCCCATCTGCTTGGCCCCACCCATCCACCTGTCCACCATTTCCTTTTCCTTATCCATCCGTCCGTCCATCCATCCATCTTCCTTCTCCCTACCTGTTCCTCTATTCCCCCCTCCATCCCTCCCCATCTTCCTTCTCCATCCATCCATCCCTTCTCCCTACTTGTCCATCCCTCCATCCCTCCGTCTACCCCATCGTCCTTCTCTCTCCTCGTCCATCCCACCCCACCGCACCGCACCCCGTGTCCGTCTGTCCGTCTCTCTCTCTCTCTCTCTCTGCCCCGGTCTCTCTTTCACCCCCAGATTTTACCGCTGTGGTTCCAGAGACGCCGCGCCTGGACAGCAGCCTGCACAAAGCCCGGGCCCGCCTGCTGGCCAAGGGCCGCCGCCACCGGCCCTCCCGCTCCCGCCTGCGCGACAGCGCCAGCTCCACCGAGGGCGACGAGGGGGACACCGCGGTGAGACCGGGGGCGGCAGGGGCGGGGGCACCGCGGACACCGGGGATGGTGTCGGGGGACGTCGGGGCTGAAGAGGTGGGGGGCTCTGTGGACCCCGGGGATTAGAGGGGGGAATCCATGGCTGGGGTTAGGGCAGGGATGGGGGTCTAGGGGACAAACCCGGGGGAGTGCAGGGGTTTGACCCCCCCCTCCTCTTGCCGTGTGCCCCCCAGGGCACCGAGGGCGATGGCAGCCCCCCGACCCCCTCGCCCTTCTCCTGTGCCGGCGACTTCTCCTTCGACGGGGGGGCGGGGCGGGCAGCGCTGGGGGACCCCCCGGCCCCCACGACCCCCCTCAGCCGCTACCGGCCCCTCACCAACACCTCGTCCCAGGAGGGGCTGTCAGGCCCCGCCGTGCCCAAATCCTGCCCCAGCTCCGACAGCTCCCCCGGCTTCGCCCGCCGCGATGCCCGGCCCCGGCAGCACAGCGAAGGTGAGACACCCCCCCGGCCCCCACAGGGACCCCTGGGACATCCCCCGGCACTGTGGGGGGCGGTGGGGGACACCCCGGTCCTTCTCCTGCAGATGACAGCAGGGACATGAGCCCCCCCGAGCCCGCCAGTCCCACCGTGGGGCTGGACAAGAAAACACGGAGGAAGTTCTTGGATTTGGGGTGAGACCCGGCCCTGGGGGGAGCGGGGGGATACACGGAGGAGGGGTGGAGGGGGACTGGGGGGATGGAGTGGGCCACGGAAGGACGAAGGAGGGGATGGAGAGGAGATGGAGGAAGGGATGCAGGAAGGGATAGGGAGGGATGGAAAGGGGATGGAGGTGGACAGAGGGATGCAGGACAGGATGGAGAGATGGAGGAAGAGATGCAGGACGGGATAGGGAGGGATAGAGAGGGAATGGAGGGGGACACAAGGATGCAGAGGGGATGAAGGGGGACAGAGGGGTGCAGGGAGGGATACAGGAAGGGATGGAGGGTGGATACAGGGAGGGATGGGGGGAAGGATGGGGGATGGAGGGATGCAGGGATGGAGGGAGGATGGATGCAGAGATCGAGAGGTGCAACAGAAAGAAAGATGGAGATACAGCTGGAGAGATGCCTGAAGGGAGGAAAAGATGGCGGGATGCACAGAGGAGGGATGCACGAGTGGAGGATCCTCTGGAGGAAATGGAGGGGTCTCTGAGGATGGATGGATGGGTGGCTGGAAGGATGGGTCCTGGGGCCCATGGGGGGAGCACAGCCCTCAGGACTGCCCCCCCTCTCCCCCAGGGTGACCCTGCGCCGGGCGTCCTCCGGCAAGAGCCGCAAAGAGAAGAGCAGCAACCGCCTGTCCACGGGCAGCAGGTGAGGGACCCCCTCAGCCGGGGCAGGGGGGGCTGCCTGGGCACGGCCCCCACCCCTGACACGGCTCTGTGCCCAGGGAGGCGGCGGAGGGTCCCGGCCGCCCCTCGGGCTCCCCCTTCCTGCCCTTCTCGTGGTTCTCGGACAGCGCCAGGGGCTCGGGCTCCCCCGGCTCCGGGTCCCCCTGCGGCTCCCCCCGGCACGAGGGGCTCAGCCCCGCCAAATCCGCCTCCCAGGTCAGTGCCCGGCCAGGGGAGGGGGAGCCTGGCACTGTGGGGATAAGGGAGGGGGTGGGGGCCCTATAGGGACGTCGATGCTCCCATGCATTCGGTGACTATAGGAGAGGAGGTGACACCAGCTGTAGGGACAGACGACAAAGCCCCATAGGGTCAGGGTGGCTTTTGGGGGTGTCAAAGCCCTAAAGAGTCAAGACAAGTGTTGGGGGCAGCAGGTCCAAAGCCCCATAGGATCAAGATGGCTGGGGTGGGGGCATGCAAAGCCCTATAGAGTCAAGACAGGTATTGGGGTGGAGGTTCAAAGCCCCACAAGGTCAAGATAGATATGGGGGGGCTGTGGGATGAAAGCCCAGGGGAGTTTGGAAGTCCTATGGGTGTGGGAGGGTGCTGTAGAGGGGTCCGGGGGGGGCAGCCCTGCCCTCACCCCCCTCACGCTGCCCCAGGACTCGACGCTGAGCGAGGACTCCCCCCCGCCCAGCGCCAGCCCCCGCCTGCCCGGGCCCCCCCGCGCCAAGTGCTCGTACCCCTACCACACCCTGTCCCAGTCCTCGGACGAGGTGAGACGCGGCGAGGGGGCGAGGTTGGGGTGTTCCCCCCCCCATACCCCACGGGGACCCCCCATTAACGCCCTGTGCCAGTTCCTGGAGGAGCCCCCCGGCGCGGCCGCGGGCTGGACGTGCCAGCAGGTGGGGCAGTGGCTGGAGAGCCTGAGCCTGGAGCAGTACGTGCAGGACTTCTCTGCCCACGGCGTGGACGGGCCCCGGCTCCTGCACCTCGACGGGGCCAAGCTCAAGGTATGGGGCTGGGGGGCTCTGATGAGGGGGCACGGGGGGGGTTCTGGGTGCCGCAACGGGCTCTGGGGTGGGGCAAGAGGTTCTGGGTACCCCGACAGAGCAGGAGGTCTTAGAGGGTTCTGGGTACCCCAATGGAGTGTTCCATGGAGCAGAAGGTCCAGGCAGGTTCTAGTTACCCCATTAAGATGCTCCACAGGGCAGGAAGGTCTGGGACGGTTCTGGGCAGCCCAACGGGGTGTTCCATGGAGCAGGTCTGGGATGGTTCTAGGTACCCCAAAGGGCTCATCAAGGGGTACCTAAACCCCCTTGCCCAAACCAGTGGCTCCACATGGCAGGAAGTTCCAGGCATCCCAAGGGACGAGTCCAGGATGCGGATGGGAAGTTCTGGGGACTCCAAGGCGCTGCTGCACGGGGGTGTGGGTACCGAGGATCTGAGGGGGGATCCACGTACCCCAGAGGGCTTGGGGGGCACCGTGGCCCCCCTGCCAGCCCCCCGCTGTGCCCACAGGCACTGGGGGTGGGCAGCTCCCAGGACAGGGCGGTGCTGAAGAGGAAGCTGAAGGAGCTGAGCCTGGCGGCCGAGAGGGAGCGCAAGGCCCAGGAGAAGGCGGAGAAGCAGCGGGAGAAGCAGAAGAAGAAGGACCTCCAGGAGCAGTGGCGAAGTTAAGGGGGGGCCTGGGAGTGCCCCTGCACCCCCTCCCCACCCACAGCCCCCCCGGGACGCCCCGGGGGACCCCCAGCGTGGGACACACTGGCGTGGCTGAGGGACGGTGCCAGGCTGAGACGAGCACGGAGCACCACGTGCCCCCCTCCTCCAGCCCCCTCCCCGCCTGCACCCCTGCACCCCACGGGCACAGCCGGGCCCCCCCCCTCCAGGGGCCCCTTTCCCAGATGCAAGTGGCACATTGGACACCCCCACCCTGCCCCGTCACCTCCCACCCCATCAGCAGCACCCCAAGGGGGGCAGGGGGGTCACGGCCAGCACTGGCTGGGGACAGCATGTGGCCTGACCCCCCCCACGGGGACACCCCCCAGTTGGGGTGTGGGGGGTGATTGCTGACCCCCCCACACACCCCCAGCCCCAAATATGGTGCCCCAGAGGCCACGCCAGGAAATAAAAGGGTATCAAGGGCCAGTGCAAACCAGTGAGACCAGTGTGAGGCTGACTGGGGTGGGGCTGGGGGGCAAGATGGGGTGGGGGGAGCTCGGTACCAGGCTGGGGGGGGCACGGACCATGGCTGGTCCCCATTGTGTCCCCAAGTGCCACCCTGTGACTGTGCCCAGCCCCCTCCCAAGCCTGGGAGTGGGTAAACTGAGGCACGGGGGGGTGGTCAGTGACCCATTTGGGGGGTGCAAAAGAAGGGGCATTTCCAGGACCCCAAAACACCACACCAGGAGCTCAACCAACAACCAATTTACTGACAGTGGGGAGGGACGGTCTGGGGGGTGGAGGAGAATTTGGGGGAGGAGAGGGAGGTTTCTGAGCAGGTCACGGCATGTGTGGGGTGGGGAACCTACCCCGGGGGAGTGCAAGGGGTGCAGGGGTGGGGGGCACACGCAGGTGAGAACAGCTCAGTAGTGCAATAACAGGGATGGGAGATGGGAAATGGGGGGGAGGGCGGGTCAGGCCTGGGCCCCCCACCCTGTCAGGGCTGGAGGGGCAGGGAAGTGCTACTGGTCATACTGGGAAAGGAGACCAGTCCCCTGCTGGGCTGGGGTGCACCCCCTGGGGTGGGTGTAAAGGGAAGGGGGGTGGGAGGGGGGGCAAGAGGGGCTTTACCCCCTCCACGCTGCTCCAACACCCCCCCAGCTACGTACCTAAGTGCCACCAAGGTGGGGGGTGCTGGGACCCCCTCACAACCCACTGGGACCCCCCACACCCCACCGGGACCCCCTTCCAGTGGAGCCCGAAGAGCCACAGAACCGGGATGCTCCAACAACCTCCCGGGGCCCTGGGGGCCACCCCGGGAGGGCCCTGTGAGCTGGGGCAAGGGGTTCCCTGCAGCCTGGGGGGGCTGTGAGCCCCGGGGGGCTTAGGGCACGCGGTAGGTGGAGGTGTTCTTGGGCTCGGTGCTGGGCACACACCAGTCCCCGGCCTCCTGGCTGGCCTGGTAGTGCCGCCACGCCGACTTGTTGTACACGGGCAGCCGCTCCACAGAGTCCGTGGACAGGGCCTGGGGGCACACAGGGGGCTGGGCAGGGTCCTGTGCCCCCGCCCCGAGCCCCCCATTTGGAGGGAGAAAGACCCACCTTCAGGTAGATGACGGCGTCGGTGCCGAAGCCCTCCATGGAAAAGAGCTGCAGGTCCCCCTGGAAGTACTTGGCGTAGAGGCGGGAGATGGGCAGCCCGTAGCCAAACCCGGCCTGGAGGGTGGGGAATGGGGTGGGGGGTCTCCAGTGCTGGGGTGGCACCCCCGGGGCACCCCAAGCCTCCCCACATCACCACAAGCAGCACCATGTGCAGCCCAAAGTGTCTGTGCCCCTGCCAGTGGTCGCTGTGCCACGTCCAAATGTCCCCCGGCAACCCAAAATCTCCCCATGCCACCCCCAAAACTCCCCATGCCGCTCTATCCGCTCCCAAACCTCCCTGTGCCATCCCCAAAACACTCCCATACCACTCCATCCCCCCCAAACCACCCTATGCCACCCCCAGTGAACCCCAAAACCTCCTCAAGCCATGCCCATAACACCCCCATGCCACTCCAGCCACCCCAAACCACCCCAGGACACCCCCAAAGGACCCCCAGAGCACTCCATGCCACCCCCAATGGACCATAAAACCTCCCCATACCACCCCCAAAATACCACCATGCCATCCCAGTTCCCCCAGACCACCCCATGCCACCCCCAAAGCACCCCCATGCCACTCTGGCCCCCCAAACCACCCCCAAAACAGCCCATGCCACCCACAAACCTCCCCAAGCCACTCCATCCACCCTGAAATATCCCCACCCACGCCAGACACCCCCAACCACCCCCACCCGCACACCCACACCCCCCTCCTCTCCCCAGGACCCCGTGGGACCCCCACAGCCCACGCCAGGGGGGTCACCTACCAGGGGGGTCCCCCCAGTGCCCATCTGGGGGGTGGGGGCCGTGGAGTACATGTAGCTGAAGAGACGCTCGATCTTCCTCAGGGGGACCCCCATGCCCCTGTCACTCATCTGTGAGACATCACCGGGGGGTGACAAGCCTGCTCCTGGCCCCCCACCCCAAACCGTACCCCCTCGGGACGGAGCTGGTGGTCCCTCACCCTGATGGAAAGGTCCTCCTGGCCCAGGGCCACCATGACCTTGATGGCAGGCAGGCGGGGGCTGCTCTCGTGGCTCTCCACGGTGGCTCTCATGGCATTCTGGGGGCATGGAGGCGTCACCAGGGCAGGGGGGACCCCCCAAAACCCCCCTCGGACCCCCCCGGCAGGGCTGGGGTTACCTTGAAGAGCTCGAAGAGCATGTGGTAGAGGTGGGAGGGCACGTAGACGATGCTCACGGGCTGCTGGGAGTTGGTGGCTGTGGGGAGGAGGAGCAGCCGTTGGCATCGCTGTGCTCCCCCAACCCTGGAGCCACCCCAAAATCCCCCCACCCTAAAGGAGACACCCCAGAATCCCCCCAGACGGGCCTCACCGTTCACCTCCTCGATCTCCAGGTCGGGTGAGGCCATGTAGTACTTGTCACACAGGAGCTTGGCCATGTTGTAGGCGTCTGGGGGGGGAGCAGAGGGGTCAGCACCCCCCAAAATGGAACAGAGGGAGTATTTGGGGTCCCCCCCTTTGCCCCCCACCCCCAAAGATTTTCCAGTCCTACAGATTCAGCAAGTTTCTGGGGTCTCTTGGCACGACCCCAAAGCACGGGGGACGCTTTTGCTGAGGGCAACCCAAACTTGTGACACAAATGGCTCCCAAACAGGGTAAGGGGAGGATCAGGGGGACATTCAGCAACCCCTCCCCTGCCAAATTCACCCCCCGTGGGGGTGGGAGCCCCCTGGACCCCACCAACCTCTCACCACGTTGGCCACGTTGCAGTGGGGGTCGATGCTCCCGATGTGTTTGGGGTGTGCAGGGTTGGTGCTGCCGTCGAAGAGCAGAGCTGGGGGGGACAACGAGCTGTGGGGACCCCACCCCAACCCCAGAGACACCCGGGGACACCCCCAGGGGGCTCAGGGCACTGGCCCTGGGGCTGAGGGTGACATTAGGGGAAGGGGAAATTTGGGGCGGGAGCCCTGGGGGTGGAGGAATCGTTGGGTCAGGATGCCTGGGGCTGGAGGGGACATTTGGGGTGGGGGGACCCTTGTGGCAGGATCCCTGGGGCTGGAGGGGACATCTGGGACAAAAGAATGCTCAGGGCAGGTCTCTGGGGTTAGGGGGGAAATCTTGGGGCAGGAACACCGGGGGGGGGACATGTGGAACAGGACCCCTGGGGCTGGGGGGCACATTTGGAGCTGAGGGAGACATCCAAAGCACAGTCCTTCAGGGTGGGGGGGATCCTCAAAGCAGATCCCTGAGGTTTGAGGGGGCATTTGGGGCAGGGGCAGGAGCCCTGGAGCTGGAGGGGACCCTCAGGGTGGGGGATACTCAAAGGGAAGATGCTTAGAGGACCCTCAGGGCAGGAGCTGATCCCTGGGGCTGAAGGTTACCCTTGGGGCAGATCCCTGGGGTTTGGGGGGATGCTCTGGAGGGCACAGGGGAATGCCAGGGCTGGCAGGGATGTTCAGAGCTGATGGGGACCCTGGAGGCAGGGGGTGCCAGGGCAGGGGGACACTCAGGAGCACCCTAAGGGCAGAGAGACCCTCGGGACAGACCCCTGGGGCTGGGGGGACACTCTGGGCGGTGTGTAGGGACACCCAGTGCTATCAGGGGTGCCCAGGGGTGCTGGGGACCCTCGGGGCTGGGGGTGCTGGGACAGGGGGACACTCAGGAAGACGATGCCCAGGGGTGCAGGGCCCCCCGGAGCCCCCTGCTCACTGTGCTGGTTGATGAGCATGCGGATGGAGATGCGGCTCAGGTAGAAGCGGTCGAGGAAGTACTGGATGTTCTGGTTGGAGACGGGATCGTCTCCATAGGCCTCCTTGTACTCGATGACCCCCTGGGCCATGGTGGGCACCACGTCGTTGTGCCGGTTGCGGATGGTGACCAGGGAGTCCGTAAACCTGGGGAGGGCACAGGGGTGGCCCCGGGGACAACCGGTCCGGGCACGGCCGCGATCCAGGCCGGGATTCTCCTGGTGGCACCCAGGAAAACCCGGAGCAGAGTCCGGTGGCACCGGGATGGGGTGGGGGCAGTTTGGGGGGGATACAGCCCCGGGTGACACCAGTTCGCACCAGGGGGAGTCTGGGAGGAGGGGACACCCCGGGACTGGGGACAAGGACATGCTGTCACCCCCAGCTTACTGTCCCAGCGTGGCCTGGTCCTCAGGGTCCCTGTCCAGGAACTCCATGATGTCCAGCAGGCTCTGGACGTACCTGGGGAGGGACACGGTTACCCCACAGCTGGCACCCCCCAAAGAGAGGGGACACCCCGGGGACACCACACCGGGGGGCACAGGGTCCCCTGGGGCACTGCCCCATGCAGGGCGAGGGGTCAGCACCCCTCAACCAGGACCCCCCACCCCAAAAACTGCTCTGCCCTGAAACCACCCTGTGCTTGGCTCCCTGTCCCACCCCTCTGCTGGCACGGTGGACCTGGGGCACACCTGGGGACAAGGCCCCTCTGATGGGGTGTGGGGCATGAGGGTGGCTGTGACCTGAGGTGGCTGTGGG